AAACCCCGAGCGGCAGTGCAGGAGCCCAAGAATTACCCTTAAAACGGGCACAGGAGCTTAAAAGACCAACTGGCCCCCAACTGGTTCGAAGGTAGGTAGTTTCGGACTAGTCCCAAACTGGTTCCCAACTGGTTCCCGGACTGGACCCCGACTGGGTACCAACTGGTCCCACGAACTAGTTACCAACTGGTCCCAAAGTGGTAACCAACTGGTCCACCTATACTTCAAGTGGTCCACAAGTCACTTCACTTACAAAGCATTCGATTTAGTTGACAATAGGCAAACTAATTTTATTTAAAGAAATGGCGTGTCGTCTATTTCCGGTGTAGCAAACGTAGTACATAGGGCGACATCTAGATGTCATCTACCTCGCCCTATTCACTATGCTTTTTTATAGGAGTTTATCAAAGCTTTGCTTTGGTGTCGGACACACAACATTGAAAGCTTCTGGATCCACAACATTGAAAGTTTCTGGAACACAACATTGCAAGTTGATAAAAGCGTTGTAAAATAAACGTTTCTCCTTGGGTGAAAAAAGTGAATCATACAATTTGATTCTGACTATGTACCAAACTGAACAAAATTACAAATGATATGATGAGCAATGAGAAAATGAGAATTGTATTGTACGGTTTCTTTCCGTACTCTGGTCTGAATGTATATTATAAATACGGGAAGAGGGTTGGCATACACATCTAGTTGTCGGCTTCAAAGCCGCATTCGAAAGGACCAAAATGAGTTTCCTGTAAGCCGAGATGTGTGAGTTTAGTAAAATGACTACGACTTCTTTTATCTGATGCTGGAGAAGATAATATGAGCTGCAGAACTGAATAGCTCAGGTATAATCTTAAAGAGCGAACAATTAACCCGGACTGAATTAAACTAAAAGCAAATTAAAGTAAAGCAAACAAAACGTATTAAAAATTTTATGTTGAATTATCAGGGAAACTAATTTTATTTATTAGTTGCAAAGTTCTAATTCTTATTTTACTTCCTATTTTACAGTGGCAGAACTGCGAGCGCAGCGCCTACTTTTTGCTCTACAAATGGATTTGGGCATGCTTCTTTATTTCTGTATTCATAGCATCTTTGGTTTTGCAATTATCAGATGGCAAACTCTTTATCTTCTTGACAAACTGGGGCATAATTCTATGCCTTTTGACACAGCTAAGCGGTGCTGTTCTCGCGACACGATGGCACTTCAATTTGGGCGGTGCACGGAGCGTGGCGACTGAAGCTCGAACCCTAAAAGAACCACCGCCCACACCGAAGCTGATTAAGTTCTACTGGTTGCTGCACGGCTCGTCCTTGTCATTGGCACTAATCATCACAACGGTTTATTGGATGTTCTTGCATGGGAAAATGAGTAAGTTTTTACAAGCGAGCGCACATGTGTACAATAGTATTATAACCTTATTCACATAACGGTTGTTTGTAACAGCCTAAAGGAATCGAGATATACATATATGTAGACACATACATAGTACTCTCTGAGAAACAAATTCTAGAAGTAAAAACCAACCCAACTCGTAATAAATTTTAGTATACAAATTTTAGTATTTAGTATGGAAATATTCAAGTCAAAATCGCCCATATTACAATGAAGCGTTTTGCACTTCACGTACGGTTACCAGACGTACTTATTTTATCAGTACAGTACTGATTTTATCAGTACAGTACTGATTTTATCAGTACAGTACTGATTTTATCAGTACAGTACTGATTTTATCAGTACAGTACTGATTTTTCAACTCTTGTACTGATTTTATTAATTTCTTCAATCAGTACGCTAATGTCCTGATTTTTCAAAACTTGTACTGATTTTACTGAATTTTCAATTCCAACAAAATACTTTAAGATTTTTGTAAGGTTTTTACATAACGTTGGAACTTCCTTAAACTGTTCTGTAAAAAGTAAGAAGAAAATAATTTGTCTAATTATATTTGACATGTTTCAGATAATGTTTGATATGTCCATGAAATTAATACAACAAAAAGATCAATCCTTTTATGGGCATATCGCCTGGTCGTTACATTCCAGTTGCGATAATATGATGGAGCTTAAATTATTTAAAAATAAGGCTGACCTGTTTTTTGTCGAGTGTTGTTAGTTATCTCGAAAATAACTTTCAGTTTAATAACAGGAAGTTTGGATATTCGAATGGCTTTTGCCTTAATTAACAATTCCTTTTTCATACAAAACATAGAGTTAGATACTCTTTTCAGCGAATACTTAGTCTTTCAAAGTTTTTGCGTAGTTGAAAAAATTCATTTAAGCCATGAGGAAATATAGATGAAGTCCTTAAATATTGGTACTTTTCCAAAGTTTAAATATGTTATTTTATTTTGTAATAGCACACTCAAACGAAGCATCTGAGAGTATAAAGTTTGCTTCCTGGCGCGAAGAGAGAAACCGGCTTCTAATACAAATTTTTTAAAGTGAACTTCAAATTAAAGATACTTTTAAAATGAAATGTATAGAATTCTTTGACTATTTATTGACTGCAGATGGAAATGGTCTCATTATTGCTATTCAACAATGTCATAAATGTAAAATAAATTGGCTTCTTTGTACAATGATGTGTACACTCACGTTAGAATGAATGACACTTTTATTTTTTATGAACTATGTTTTGTTCATATACCTAAATATTGTTAAAACAAGTACTCTGGCGTTTTAAAGTATTGTCTGTTAATTTACTTTGGAAGGAATTTCCGTCATCCCTTGTCAAGTTTGGTTTGCAGATAAACCGGTTTCGGCATTGTGTCATCTTCAGTGTCATTTGTCTGTTACTTACATTCATAATTTTGCTTTGTATAAAAATGTACTGAAAAGTAGTGATTTTTTTAGCATGAAAAAGTCTAACGTACAGATTTCCCGCATAAAAAATTTGGCAACCCTAACTTCACGGATGCTTTTTCATATAAAGATAATAAAAAAAAGTTTATTTCCATGCTGCCTTTAACGGGGTTTGAAACCTGACCATATGGAATTTGACAATTTGTGGCAAGCAACTTTGCACACTCAGCTAAAGGAAGACATGTAAATGCATATTGAAGTGTTGAGTTTGAATCAACACCACAGCACGCGTGCGTGGTATGAAAGTATTATTTTTGAATTCGAACATATTAAAACGATAATCAAATAAAAAAAATTATTTTTACTCATTTATATCCCTCAGTGAATTCATAACATTTTTCTTAATATTACAACGCGTTTTTCTCTCAGTGTACATATTTAGCAAAATGCTCACAATGAAAAGAGAAATCGATTAAGCTATCTATCTGTCTATCGGTCTATCTCCAGCTGGTGATAGCTGATCAGTGATGCCAAACATTCTCTATTAAAAATCCCACGAATTACCCACATCTTAAAAATTTATCCCACAAAATTCCCAACGAATTTAAAACATATACATATTTCAGTAGTAAAGAAGTAACATTCATATAAAATAATAATAATAGATTGGCGGTTACACATATGTTAGTGTTTGGCCAAGCTTCTCTGATTTTTAGCGTGCGCCTTGATGTTGTCACACAAAGGGGAGGGACCTACAGTTTTACGCCGTTAAGAAAACCCCTTCTTTCCACATTTTTTTGCGATGTTGCTTTAACCAGGGCTTGAACTCAGGCCCTGCGTAGTGGAAGCGCGCACTGCTTACCACTACACCACACATATAATATTCTTTCGAAATTCAAAGGTCGGTAGATTACTCACTAAGGGCTTAAAAGAATTTAAAAACATCTACTAAATTCATAAATTAGCTTTAGTGTTTATTAAAACCCAACATTTTGAAGAAACTTTTTTTCTTTATTAAGGTAACTAAATAATGCATACATACATTTGTGTTTTTTATTGCTGTATACTTACTGGCAATTCTTAAAACTATGACTGTTACAAATTATTTGCTTTGTGTAAGCGAATATGATTTTTTTGGTGACTTTATAATTGAAGCGCATTATATGCTATTTAATATTTCATCAGATAATTTGTTCCGCTTTTTACATGAAACACCAGTTACAATTGAAAAGATTATTTCTTAGTCACTGTCACACTGTTGCGCTTTCAATTACATAACATCTATTCTCTACCTCTAATGAAGCAAGCAATTTTTCAACGATCTAATGCAACATAATTTCCACTTACAGATAAGCCGATGCGCTATCCCGTGATGAGCTTCATTACACACTGCCTAAATTCAGTATTTATGTTGGTCGATTTTTTGATTGTCGCATTTCCGGTGCGTATAGTGCACGCCCTCTATTGGATGCTACTGCCCATTATATACTACTTATTCACTTTGGTCTACTTCCTCGCTGGCGGCAGGGATGAGTAAGTGCATGGCGATTTCTTTTGAAATCATAATTTATGAAAATTTTTTATGTACTTATCTAGATATGGCCATCCCTATGTGTATCCAATTTTGGACTGGACCACTCCTGGGCGCGCTGTAGCCACATTTGCCGGAGTTTTTGTCTTATATTTGATCTACTCAATTATTTTGTTTGCATTAAGTAAATTTAAGCGGTATTTTTCTCGAACTCTGAGCGCCATGGATAGTCCACATGCCATCGGATTAATTTAAAGCATTGTAGTTAAAAATATTTACATAAAATCGTGGTATATTTAATCATATGACATTTTTGTATATGAAATTTTGATAGTACATTCTTACATCGAAATCCTAATGAAAATATACATATGTACATACATACATACATGCATGTTTATAGATATAGTCACTAGACACCCTGCAGGGAAACCGCGGACTGGTGCATAAAATTTCTAGTTCCGTACAAGATCCTTATCGCCAAAAACGAACCAGTCCGATAGTAAGTAGATCTCCACCAGTTCAAAATCAGCGAAATGTGGGTCTCTTATAAAAACTATTTTAATTCTCTTTTTTTCATTAGAAATCTATATCTAAAGTGACGAATTTAGAACTGGTTCGGAATTATAGAAAAAGGGACGCAGAACGAACTAGATCTTATCTGTCGAATTTATAACTAGTTCGAAACTATCGAAAAAGGTATGCAGCGGGGGCTTGTTTACTTTACATAGATATGTGTTTGGCGGCTTTTTCGTTCAAATGCACTTTCATTCTGCACTTCGCAGATGCTATTTCATAGTTTGGTAATACAAAACAAAACTTTGTATTAACATACTAACATCTTGGGGCCAACTGGAATGTAACAAATAACAGCGAGCACCTCTGCAAAGTCAGCTAAAGCCAAAGGTATGTAAACGTACATTTCTTACAATCATTCAAACAAATTTAATTTCAAATTGAAAAAAACGTTTCTTTGAAAATAATGTAAAATCGCACACACGGAAGAATCAAAAAGATTGAAAAATCATGATACTTTTTTCTTTCGTCTGTCGATTTTAGAACTGGTTCGGAACTATAGAATTTTGGACTAGTTCGGAACTATCGAAAAAGGGATGCAGCGGGGGGCAATTGACACTTCCTAGGACATCGCCATGTTAAATTCGCCAGTTGTTTGTATGCAAAAGAGATTTATCGCGAACCAGTGCTGGGTCTAAACGTACTACATGCGCACCAGTTTAGAACTAGAGATTTTCCCCACAGGGCACGAATAAAGGCGCGTCATTGTTTTAACGCATTGACGAAAAAATACGCGGAACCCTAGTTGACGGCGAACGCTGAAGTTTTTTTTATGGGTCTTTTTTTTCGCGGTCAACTTTTGAGCTCACGCCTTTGTTTGTGTCTAGTGACGATATGTATTCATATCTGTGAATATTTGAACATTTGAAAAACTTAAGTCTATTTTGACGGGCAAAGAAAATAGCATATCTATGTCAGAGCAATACATTTTATTTGAAAGAAAACATTCTAATATGTTAAGAGGTTGTGACCCATGGCTGAATTATCCCAGGTGAAGTAATTAGAGTGAGAAGAAACATTTTGACACTACCTTATTTGAAAAACAAGTAAAAAGGGGCTGTCTTCGGCTATGCCGAAGCCTTCATACCTTTCATGAAAATAAAAAAGCTTTCTTTCATCTACTACTTCTTACTAAATTTTCAGCGTAAAAATATTCAATATGAAAACACTATTTATTTTTTTATAAATATCTAATAAATATTTACATCGTACATACAAATTTCCTTATGCGTTCAGTTAATTTTTATACCCGAGCGCACTTGTGCACAAGGGCATATTAACTTTGTTCACATAACGCTTGTTTGTAACAGCCAAAACGAATCGAGATAGATATTGACAAATGTATACATAAATGCTCAGAATGAATAGAGAGGTCGATTAAGCCATGTCTGTCTGTCCGTCCGTCTGTCCGTCCGTCGGTGTACACGATAACTCGAGCAAAATTTAAGATATCTCAACGGAATTTGGTATGTAGGTTTCCATTTATCCAAGGTAGGTTGGTATTGAAAATGGGCTAAATCGGACTGTAACCACGACCACTTCCCATATAACGGTAATTTTCAGAAATACGAAAACTGCGATATTTTAGTAACTACTGAAGAATATTCACTCAAAATTGATATTTACAATAAATTTTAGACGAAAAATAAGAATATTATACATTTTTGGAAAATGGGCGTAGCAACGCCCCACTTATGGTTACATGTGTACATCTTGGTAACCGCTGCACCAATTTCTTCCAAACTTGGCACAGGTGGCCTTAGCACAGCATACCAAATGGCCGACCATTTTCAAAATCGGACGATAACCACGCCTACATCCCATATAACGGTAATTTAGAAAAATACAAAATCTTCGATAAATCAGTAATTATTAAAGCAAATTTATTCAAAATTGATGCTTGCAACAATTCTTTACCAAGAAAGACGTTTATGATAAAATTTTGGAAAATGAGCGTGGCACCGCCCACTTATGATTACATATATGTATCTCGGTAACCGTTATACCAATTTGTACCAATCTCGGTATGGTTATTGTGCTTGCCACATAAAAGCAAAATGTTGAAAATAATTGAAATCGGACTAAACTTACAGCCGCTTTTCATATAGCGGTAATTTTCAGAAATGCTTTAAACTGCAATTTTTCGAAATTTAAGGACGCTAATTTACTCAAAATTGATACACCCCGGCTTACCATCTAGCGGTAGCTTTCGGAAAGGTGAAAAACATATATTTAATACTTGCGCCGGGTATTTAATGTTCGGCTCCACCCGAACTTAGACTTTCTTACTTGTTATTTTATTCTTTATTTAATTTTTATCTACTACTTTTAAATTTCAAAAACATTAAATAAAACAAAAAGACTTATGATAAAGTAAATTAAGGTGTTCTACAACAAAGTGTTTAAATACAAACGTATGTGGTACATGTGAAAATATAATAACATTAATCGCCAACACTAAAAAATATCCCGTCATGGTCGCTGAATGAGGATTCATATGTTATCGCCCTTGTTCTGTCTGCAGAAAAACTTGCCAATAACCAATCAATCGCGGTTTGTTGCTTTGTAGTAGGAAGATGTTCCAGTAAGGAATGCAATCCTAGTTGGCTCAAGCGCGTTCCAAGAACATCATTTGACGTAATGCGACAGACATTAAAGCCTCCAACAACTATTAATTCTCCATTATTTCTATTACTCAGCTCCTTTATATCTTCTTCCAATATTCTTCTAAATGCTGGTAATGAAAAATATGGACTTCTGTATACTACAGCGATTGCCAAGTCTGGTTTTGATATCGCCAGAAACTGATACACTTTTCCGGCTACATGATGACTTTTAATGAAACTTGTGGTAAAGCAACTTTCATGACCAGTTTTACAGTAAATTATTACTCCATTCCGTGAGCGGCTTTGTCCAGTCTCAGTTGCTCCATCGATACGCGCCACAATACTATAGCCTTCGATTTGTAATTCTTCTTCTGGACGGGTCCAAGTCTCGGCAAAACAAATGATATCCGCTGAACAAATAAGGTGGTCACTTCTAATGTCATCGATATGCTTTCTTAAGCTTCTTATGTTTTGATAGTACAATAGAAGAGTGTTATCTGGGCGCTCAGTTGCAAATTTGTAGTGCGTCTCTAATTTTTTTAATGTCCGAAGTATATTCAGCTGTGCTTGGACTACTTCGTTGCCTCCAAAAGGTCTAGGTGGAATAAAATTACCTACAATAAATAGTCCTGAAGCACTTGTTGCTCTATTGCATCCGACGTACAAAGCTGATCGGCTCATTCCCTTCTTAGTATGAATAGCAACCAATCTGTAAGTTGCTCCTTGGCTTTTGTGTATTGTTATTGCCTCTGCTGGTATTATAGGGAACTGCCTTCTTTCTATCGAGACTTGTTCGTTTCTTCTATATTGGAAGGTGCGCACTACTTTTTCAATTGGTGTCCAGCTCGATTCGTGGGGGTGAGGCTTTTTTGGAACGTGCTATTACTCCAATTCCTGGCTCAGAAAAGTGCATCCAAAGAATTACTGGTGTCCGTTCGGGGCCTCGATGGTCAATTTGCATTAGTCGGCCCGTAGCTCCATTTACCAAACCATCTGCAGTATTAATGTTGACCGTAATCATGTATTTTGCAGAGGTTTTCAGTTGTAAACCGTAGCACATTCCTTGTGTCTCCGATGTTTTAAAATTCTTAATGGCATCCAATACAACCGTTTTACTTCGCTCCGAAAGAGAGTTCGCCTTCACACTGTCTTTCGCTGTAGAGATAAACTCTTCTGTGGCGATTTTAGCCAATATTGCAGTATTATATAGAGATATACATCCGCGTTGGAATAAAAAAGATGAATACAGTCGTTGGGTATCTCGTTAAAATTGGTTTCTCTTGCTTTAATGAGCTCGATATCATCAGATGTCATATTTCCTTCGGACATGTTGTTGAGAGCAACGGCAAATGCCTGATCTTCTCTTTGGCGCATTATTTCGGTGAGTTCGAAGAAACGGAACAAATCCCAAAGTGGTGTGCCAGTAATTGCGCTATATGGATCCAATTGGTTTGGGGAGAAAATCCATCTGTCTCCTACTGGCGAGAGTTGCTTTAAGTCGCCAAAAACAATTAATGGTATACCTCCAAAATACTTGCTGGAGCGAAATATTTGTTTTAAACGGGCATCTAAATATCCAAATATTTTGGCACCGACCATTGAAATTTCGTCCACTATTATTAACTGAAGGTCTATTAGGTTTGAATAGATAGAATTAACACTATCATTGCTGAGAGGTCGTAATTCAGTTGAAGATTGGTTTATCGGTAAGGAAAAAATCGAGTGCAAAGTAACGCCTCCAATCCCAAATGCAGCTTTTCCTGTAGGAGCACACAATAAGACTTTAATTGTCTCGGGATTACTGCCGGATAAGCTGTTTGCTCGTGTTGTCAGTGACTGGTATAAAGCGGAAATTAATCGGCTTTTTCGTACTCCAGCTCCGCCTCCGACGTATTCGTAAAAGTGTCTCTTCAGCTTCATGTTATGCTGAACATGATAAAAATATTCCCGCTGTTTTCTGTTCAAGGAGCGCACAATTGAGAGCAGCTCATTTTCTTGAATAAGTATAGGTAGTCTTATGAGCCTGACCTCCTCCAAGTTTGGGTCCTGTGGCTCATCGCTTTGAAATACGTCGACATCATTGCCGATTTCTGGAATAGCTAGTGCTCTAAACTCTTCAACCAAGAAAGGGGTAACATCAACCTGAACATCTTCCTCTGCTGTTTGCTGATTTAAGTTCTCTAAAATATTTTCGAGCTCACGGTTT